ACACACACACACACACACACACACACACACATACACACATACACACACACACACCGGAGAAGTGCTTTGCCAGCATGCCAGGCCGGTCCAAGGGACGGCTGTACCCTTCGAGGTGAACAGGACACCGGGAAATGCAGCAACAACAAAACACTCACACACATATAGACTTGCTAACACACACACACAAACACACGCACACACACATAAAACCAGCTCACTCCAGGTCTTTCTTAACACGAGCCCTTTAAAGCTCTTTTGTCAGCTGACATTGAGAGAGCGAGCTCTGTCGATCCTTCTGCGTTTAACACACAAACACACACAGAGAAGGTGGCAAAAAGGAGAAGTACGAAAAATGAGCCGCGGGAAAAAGGTGAAGTCACCTGCCGAGAATTTATGATTACAATACACAGGAAGCGACGGCGCATCAAGCTGCTAATCGTAGGCAAATCAAGACAGGGAAGTATAAAATGTGGTTTTCCAAAACAACAACAAGAACATAAAAAAAACACACGCTTACTGTTGAGGGGAAACTAACAGAGAAGAAGAGAAAGAAGCAAGACACCTGTTTTCTTCCTCCTCATCTGATGAGACTTCCTCAAATTTACAACTGGAATAAACAAACTTTACAGAATGTGTGATTGAAAGGTTTTTAATCAAAATTGACCTAAAAAGATACATTTTTAAAATGTATTTTAGAGGAGATTTGGTGTCAACTAAAGACTTGAATATTAAGATTAAATTTAGCTTCTGCTTTTTGTTAAATGTGAGATTATGCATCATTCATCTACACAACTTTGAATTACCTGAATGACAAAAAAAGAGTTGTAAAGAATTAACAAACATCTCATAATTTTATGCTGTTTTTTTAATAAATGTAAAGTTTTTAGTTTTCTCTGCTTACTTAAAATGTTAGTTCAGATCTTTTAAACAACGTTCTGAAGACAAGCTTTGAGCTACTTTTAGCTAGCCTCTAGGTATTTTTTTATCTAGCTCAATGCTACATTTAGTTTGAAGCTCACCTTTTGTTGCATTTAGCTTTTAACTAGTCGTTAGCTTCTTTTAGCTTTTAGCTAGCCTTTAGATTTATCTTTGCTACATTTAGCTTTTAGTTAGTCTTTAGATTTGTTTAGCTTTTAGCAAACCTTTTATTACTTTTAGAAATGGTTACCGAAAAACTAGTATTTTGGTATTTTAGCTATCAATTTGCCACATTTAGTTGTTAGTTTAGCTACTTTTAGATGTGAATTAGTGTTCTGGTAATTTTAGCATTCAGTCTCAATTTCACCTTCTTCAGCACATTCTAGTGAAGTCAGCACAATGTAGTTTCTCTAGTTTATAATTGCATTTTAGCTATTTATTGTTTCTTTATAAGGTCAGTCATACTAGTTTTAAATTGGCACTAAAAATATACGTTCTGATACAGGTCGGATGTATCAGAGACTTGAAGTCAGCTGTAAGAATAGAAGGACAGAGAGAGATGGAGTCAAAGAGGGCACAGTGTCACACTATCCATCTGATTCACCAAGTATTGGGTGAAATTTCATGTTCTCATATGAACCACTTCCAGCTCTTACAGAAAGCTCTCAGAGACGTCGGCCTGAAGCAGTTACCTCGAAGTCGTTGGCCTTGTTGTAATGCATGTTGAGGGCTCGGAAGAGCTCGCAGTCCCGGCTGACGCTCAGCTCCTCGGCCCCGGTGACGCCGTCGTTGATGGCCTGGCGGGCGAACTTCTCCATCTGGATGTAGTAGAACTCCCTGAAGTTGCTGAACCACTTGATCAGCTGGGAGGTGATGCAGCGGTTGAACTGGAACGAGAGGTGGAAGTGGGAGGGATGGGATTAGCGCGTTTCAGTCCCTTTGTTAAACATTTATCGCACACTGACAAAATGTGTCTATTTCCAAAATATCTCAGGAACTACTGGATGAGTTTTACTGAAACGTACAGGAAGTAAACATTGGATGGACATCTACAACTTATTACCCTTTGGAGCCAATCCAGTTCAAGATGGCAGCCACTGCCATCTGACCATCAGATTTTAATGAAACGGATGTAACTACAAATGATTATCTTTTATAGACAACTCAGTTCAAGCCACCACAACTAATCAACATTATCTCACAGAAAAAGTATAAAAATTGTCTATTTTTTTAATATACTGACCTAATGTTTGGTGGGGTAGCAGCTGAGAGTCTTTTACAACTTATAATGTCTGTGACATCGCACATACTGCATGAGATTGTGCATGGTTTGAGCAAAACTCGTGAAATGTCGTGGAAAATATGCATTCCTWTAAAGGATTCTAGGTTTTTATTTTTGTCAAAAACGTGAAGAAAAGACTGACGAGTCTGAAACCAATTTAGCCACTGGATATGAGTGTGAATGGAGGGCATTTTATACATGGAGAGGTGAGGAGGGAGGAAACTGCACGAGATAAAAGACGAGCAGGAGAGAAGAGCGCCGGTTGTTGAGGGAGGGGAAGAAAACAGAGATATTAAGTAAGACAGCAAAGCGAAGAGGTTGGCGAAGGAAGAAAAGAAAAGAACGGCAGAGTGTGTGCAGTTCATCTGCCCCGCTGGGAGTAGACCCCCCCCACCCACCCACCTCCCTATCATAACCCGGAAAGTGGAGGGAGAGGTGGAAGAGAGACTGGGGTGGGGGGTGGACTGCAAACACATAATTGACCAGAAAAACGATTAAGTCATCATCTGAAGCGCCCCAGCCCGCAGGGGGCTCAAACATGTACTTAACCCCGTTCACCAATTACACCCTGATCTTCCTCCCCTCCGCACACGTCCCACACACGGAGGAAAGGATAAGAAAAAAGATGACGGTAAGTGCTGCGGAGAAGGGTTACGGCTATCTGATCTGCAGAATGAGATAAACCTGATTCTGACTCCTTTTTTTTCTCCCCTCCTCCTGATCTCAAGTTAAAACAGCTCCATGGCTCTTGATTTTTAATTAACATTGAATTAATAGTTTGGTTCACTCTTCAAACTCTCTGAAATTATTTCTGAACTCTTGTGTCCTCCAACCATCAACGGGCCTCCGGTCCTCCCTCCTCCTCCTGTGTTACAGAAAGAAGATTGTAGGGGGACAAAGAGCTCCTAAATGCTGATCACTGAGAAGGCAGAGCGGTTTTGACATGGAGATTAAACTACATCTAGTGTTCGACAATACAAACACACACACTTTCCCCGATCTCGGACGACACTTGGGAAGATGGGAGTGCAAAGAGAGCAGATAAAAAAAACTCGAATGAAATCAGCTGGAGGAAGATGAAAATCAACAAGAACAACAACAAAAAAAAAAAACACCGTCTTTCTGGAATGATCCATGGATGGAAAAGAATAAGTCTGGTGTTTGGCACGGAGTGTGTTTGTGTGTGTGTGTGTGTGGCTTTCCTAAAGTGCAGGGTGAGCATAAATAGGGAGGATGGGTGCTCCGGACAATGGTGTTTCAGTGGTCGGGGATGGTGC